CACCTCTCTCAAGCGTTTAATAACTGGTTCAAGGCCACAGTGGTTAGAAAGGGCAGAACTGGTTTGCTGGTCCAGCTCATCAGACTCCAGAACTCAAGAGCCATACCTCCAAGGTGTCCCGTAAAGAGCAGGCACACTCAATAATTATCTGATGATCACAGCAGAGGGCGCAGGATAACTCTAGAGGAATCTTGGGCCAGTGGAATATGTGAGCTCAAAGGATGCTTGAAAGTCATTTACCCAGGGGCCATATTTTATAGTCAGGGACATTGAAGCACAGAGAAAAAACTCGGGAGGGTCACGGAGTAGGAGAACAATGTGAAGATAAGGTGAAGGCTTCAGGCCTCCTGCCAGGATCCTCTTTCCCAGATCCCTACAGCCTGAAAATATTCTCATCCATGTGGTGAAAGGTGTTTTTGCCTTTTCTAGTGCAAAGTTGTTCTAGCACTGGAGGACAAAATAAGGCTCTCTAAGTCAAACTTTGACAAGCAGATTTTAACTCAGTATAAAGAAGACTTTTTATTACTTTTTAAAAATTTTTAAGAATTATTTACTTCATTTTATTGATGATTATTGTTTTACTATGTTTTACATTTTTGCTATGGGGCATGTATGTGCACCAGAGAGAGACAGAAAGCCATCTCGTCAGACATCCCCTGAGTGCCTTCTGGGTGCCAGGTGCTGCCCCCGGCACGGGGACCGGCTATTCTAGGTCTCTGCACTCATGAAACTTAAAATCTGTCATGGAGACAAATGATACATAAGCAAATAAATATGATAATTTCAGGCAATGATAGGTGCTGTGAAAACGATGAAGTAGGATAGAGACAGGAAGTAGATGTGACATTAATCCAAGAAAACACTCTGAATACAGAACAGCCAAATGATCGGCAAGAGACAGGAGATATTTGGGAGCTGCATTTTTACTGTAAGGAGACAAGCCAATTCTGCCTCATGTAGGAAACAGCTAAACATGTTGGGTCAACAGAGGGGGAAAAAAGCCTGTAGAAAGAATAAAGACCAGGGCCAGCAGGTGGAGTTGTGGTTAAGACTCGGGACTCCCACGTGGCTGACTGAGGTTCAGGTCCCAGGCCTGGAAGCTTGAAAACTGCATGTACATGCACATGCGCAAGCGTGCCCACAATCCTGAGGGGAGGATGGAGAAGAGGGGACTGTGGTGAGGCCATGGCCTCTGAGAGGTAATTTCTCACTTTCTCTCTTTCTGTTTCTCTCCAGTGAGTGTACATGCCCTAGGGCAAAATCCTTCAAAAAAAGAAGAGAGAGAGAATAAAGATGGATGAATAGCTATGCCAACCCTAAGAGATCAGGGGAGAAGGAAGACTAGTCCTACAAGATATTAAGGTAGAACTCTAATTCCACAGTCATCAAAAGTGCAGTCATGGGAACCAGCAGTTAGCGTAATGGCTATGTCGCTGGACTCCCACGTAGTCGACCGCGGTTCGCATCCCGATCCGGTGGCTTAAAACTCACGCCGGGCGCGTGTGCGTGCGTGCCCAAGATCCCGAGAGGAGAATGGAGGAGAAGGGATTGCGGCGTGACCATCCCCCCTGGGGGGTGATTTCTCGCTTTCTGTCTCTCTGTCTCTCTCTGTCTGTCTGGCGAGCACACGCGCCCTATAGTGGAAAAAAAAAGTGCAGTCATGTGGTTTTAGAAAATAAGTAAGTAAATAGACAAAAAGACCAATGAAATAAAATAGAGAGCTCAGAGACAGACCCATGTCTAGATGAGAACTTAGTAAAATGACTTCACAAATTACAAGAGCAGAACAGACTGTAGTACATTTTACCAGATGGTGCTGGAAAACGGTCTTACCATACTGAGAAAAGAAAAAAAAAGTGGATCTTTTTATTCCAACAAATCCAAAAGACTAAATACTTAAATGCGAAAGCTAGAACTGTAAATGTAATAGAAAAAAATTAGATTATCATTGAGACCTAGAAGCAAGAAAGAACTTAATAAAGAAAACTTTCAAAATGGAAATCATGTACCACATGAGACATTTATTACGCCAAAATTAAGAATTTGTTCAGTGAAAGAACCAGTGGACAAAGTTATTCCACAAATAACAGAATAAGGGACTCTATTTTCACTTTGAGGAAATATAAAGTCCAAACTAACAAGAGACTAATATCTACCAAAAGTAAATTAATTTTTTTGGAGGAAAATGACATTAACCAGAGCCTATACAATTCTTCATAGGCAATGTCTGAAATTCAATCAAAATGATCGGAAATGCAAATAGGACAAAATAACCAAAACTAAAAAGAAAAACATATGATAGCAGCAGACCACAGGTGATCCAGAGTTACTAGATAGAGACTTCAAAATGACAATAATATACTCAAAAAAATAAAGAGAAGGATAGGGAATTCCAAAAAAGACGGAAATATATATATATATTTTAGAGGTTTTTGCTCTAGGGTGTGTGCGCTCACCAGAAAGACAGAGAGAGATAGAGAGGCAGAAAGCCAGAAATCACCTTCTGAGGGGATGGCCACGCCGCAATCCCTTCTCCTCCATTCTCCTCTCTGGATCTTGGGCACGCACGCACAGTACCCGGAGTGAGTTTAAGCCATTGGATCCGGGACTCGAACCACAGTCATCTACATGGGAGTCCAGCGACATAGCTATTACGCCAACTGCTGGTCCCAGAAATCTATTTTTTTATATATAGTAGAAATTTTGAAATAAAAAAAATAAGTTTATTGCAGCATTATTCTCAATTGCTAAGACATAGAGTCGACCTAAGTAACCAAAAACTGATGACTGGGTTAAAAAACTGTGGCACATAAATACTATGGAATATTACTCAGCCAGAAGAAACAATGAGATCCTATCATGCGATTCAAAGTGGAAGAATATAGAGGACCTAATGTTAAGTGAAATGAGCCAGACTTTGAAAGACAACACTGTATATCCCCACTTGATATATACCAAATATCTGCACTCAATCACAGAAAATGACTTGGCTAAGGCAGCATAGCTAGCAAAGGCTGTGAACCCTAGCTGCATGAGTTATGATAGTACAGGGTAAGTGTAGATGTCAGAGACTGTAAGTGAGGGGAGTAATTGGTAGAGAGTGGGTGGTAGAGGGTGGGTAAGAGGGGCAAAGGGAAGAAACATTTAACAAAAAAGAGAATGGAAACTTCTCTGTAAAAAAAAAATAATAAATCCTGTAACTTTTGCTTTAAAAAAATAAAAATTTAAAAATAAGTAAATAAATAAATACTGGGTTGTCACGAAAGTCATGACACATTTTTGCATAGAAAAACAGAAAAATACATCACGACTTTCCCAATGATCTAATAAATAAATAAAAGACCAGGAAAAGAAATCAATATCAATAAAAATAAATCAAAGACCAGGAAAAGAAATCAATATCAATAAACTAGAAAATGATAGCAAATTAAACTCAAAGTAGAATGAAGAAAATAATAAAAATATGGATATAAATCAATAAAATAGAAAACAAACATAAAGCCAAGAGTTGTTTCTCTGAAAATATTCTACAACTAATAAACTCCCAGCAAGACTAGTAGAGAGAAAGAGAACACAAGTAATAGTATCAGGAATGAGAGATAACACTGTAATCTTACGGACTTGAAAACGGTAATAGGAGGATACTGTAATTTTACAATTTTATACAAATAAATTTAAATAAAGGTAAAGGGCCAACCCATGACCTGGTGGTTAAGGGAGCTGAATCCCACATGGTCAACCATGCAAGTTCAAATCCTGGATCCAGCACCTTGAAAAAACACACCAGACATGTGTGTGCATGCCCAAAAATCTCGAAAGGAGGGACAACTAGAGAAGAAGAAATTTTGGCATAACCATGGTTCATGAGGGTGTTTTCTCACTTTCCTTCTCTCCATCTCTCTCTTATGAGTCCATACGCCCACTAGAAAATTAAATAACAATGAATAAAAATAAAATGGTCACATTCCTTGACAAATTTCAACTGCCAAAACTGATATAAGAAGAAATGAAGAATCTGAATTTTTAAAATTGTTTAATTGAGGGAACAGCAGATGGCGTAACGGTTACGTTGCTAGACTCCCACATAATCAAGTCCCAGATCCAGCAGCTTAAAACTCATGCCGTGCACATGTGTATGCATGCTCAAAATCCCAATCCCAAGAGGAGAATGGAGGAGAAGGGATTGCAGTGTGGCTGTCCCCACTGGGGGTGATTTCTCGCTTTCTGTCTCTCTGTCTCTCTCTGTCTCTCTGGTGAGCACACACACCCTACATTAAAAATCTCTCTTTTAAAAAAAAAAGATATCTTACGACTCAATGCTCTAAAGTCTTCTTCATTAAATTCGTCAAATTGATTAAGGAAGAAATAACACTGATTTTACACTAACTTATCAAAAGACTTAGAAAAAGAGGGAACATTTCTAGCATAACCCAGGTACCAGAACCAAGAGAGAAGAAATTTGCCAGACAGTTTCTTTCTTGAATTTATACCTAAAAACTCTACATAAAATATTAGTAAATCAAATTGAAAAATATATAAAAATATATTACATCACAGCTAAGTGGGGTTTGTCCCAGGAATATAAGGTTGGTTTAATACTCAAAAATCAACATAGGAATCACCAAGGCTTATTGTGAAAGAATAAAGTAAGAACAAGGTACAAAAATAAAATAAAATAATATCCAGTAGGGTTCTGGTAGGAGCTGATTCATCACCATCTCTCTGGCCTGTCAGAGCAAACATCTCATGCACATGGACCTGGCTGTGCTACTGTAAGCTTCTTTTGGGACCACTGAGTAAAGCCTTCAGCTTTGGGAAGAAGTGACAATGGCTGGGGAAAGGTCCCCTGCAGCTCCAGGTTAAGCAGAATCACCCCTGCCTTGTCTAGGCCACAGGGATGGAAGAGCTCAAGGAGCCTAAGGGGGCTGCCTGGCAGCCACTGGATCTGTGAGAGGTGGCACTTCTTTAGGAAAAGCCATCATCTTAGTAAGTTTGCTCACCTGGGAGGGGGCTGGCTGCCCTGCCGCTTGAACGCTCTTTCCAGCCGTTCCTGGGTCACCCTGGAATTCCCACCAGGCAAGTAGAGGTTGGAGAGCGTCCTGTCTGCGTCTGTGCTGCTGTCCGCTGCTGGGCTGCCCTCTGAAAGCTCTCTGGAGCTGCCCCTCTCCCGCCGGGGCAGACCTTTGCTGAGCAGGTGCGGTGGGCTCCTGGGCAATGTTTTCCGCTTGTCTGCGGTCAGTTCGCTGAGCTGACCTGGAGGGCTCCTGGAGGCAGAGCTGGTGCTGGAAGCCAGGCCCTCCTGCAGGGCTGGACAGGCTGGAGTGTGGGCCAAGAGCTCAGGCATCTTCCGGCCTTCTTCTTGGGGCTGGGTGGCACTGCTCAGGGTCGGGGGCCGCCTCAGAGCACGCTTGCGGAGGGAATCCTGAAAGGTCAGGACAAGAGCAGTGAAGATCCCTCTCCAGGAGAGCTGGAAAAATACCCGATCTCCCTCCAAGCATTTGCCTAGGACGTTCCCTCCCCAGCAATGTCTTCCTGGCCCCAACTCACCCTAAAACCCCACCTACTCTGTGAGGTGCTGCCCAAATGCTCCCGCTCCAGTCTCTTGCGGATTCTCATCCTGCCCTTACAGAGAGCCACTTCAGCAGCAGGCCAGCTGCCGCTCCAGCTTCTACTTGCTGTGTCACCTCCCGCCAGTGTCACCAGAGACTGGTTATTAAACGTCTCTGTCCCTCACTTTCCCACCTGTAACGTAAATGTCCTCGAGCCATTACCTGTCACTTTTAAACCCCCAAACCTCTGAAAATGAACGTTTCTTTTGGAATCCTGTGGTAAATTCTTTCTAACTGCTGGGAGGTTGCCTACAGTCTTTTAAAATATAAATAGTCCTAAGTAAAAATGTTTACTTTGGGGGCCAGCAGATGGCATCATGGTTACAAGTGCTGGACTCCCACATAGTCGACTGTGGTTCAAGTGCTGGACCCAGTGGCTTAAAACCCAAGCAGAGCATGTGTGTATGCGTGCCCAAGATCCTGAGAGGAGAATGGAGGAGAGGGGATTGCTGCGTGGTCATGCCCCCAGGCGGTGATTTCTCACTTTCGGTCTCTCTGTCTCTGTCTCTCTGGCAAGTGCATATGCCCTATTAACAAAACAAAACAAAACAAAACAAACAAACAAACAAACAAAAACCACCTCACACACACACACAAAATAAGTTCGCTTCTTTTGCTAATTAGTGCTACAGGCACTATGTGTACATAATTTACACCGTCTTTCTGAAATTAAAAGACAGTCTAACTTCACGAACATATCTGGCCCTGAGCTTTTGGATGAGGATGGAGGACTTGTACTTCTGCCTCCTGGGAGATCCTGGTGGGGATTACAGGAGTCACATGTAAAGGGCAGCACAGAGCCAGGTACATCACAGCAGTCGGCCAGTGTTCATGAGGTCCTGTGCTCAGTGTCCCTGTCCCCACTGACAAACAAGGCTCTTGTCCCCACCCACATGGGCCTGAACCCCTTCCTGCAGGTAGCCCAGGAATGGCAGAAGCCAGTCTCCACTCATCTCTGGTGTCCTCCAAGCTCCTAGCCCACTGGCCGACACTTGGTAAGCACGCAGATTTGCTTCGTTTTCGAAAGGAAGGGATTCCAAAGGAGTCAATTGCCATAGCCTCCTACGCTCAATGATTGACTAATGAAATGGGAATTCACGACACTGCTAAGCAGGGGCGGGAAACTGGAGGCAGAAGGACAAAAAGGAACCTAGAGGCGTCTCCTGGGTCTAGAGATTTGGAACTCTCAGCATTTCCAGAAGCCATCCAGAGCCAAATGGTATAGCCTGGCTGGATAAGGAAAGCTAGTCTGCCAGGTTCTGGCCCAGTGGAAATGATTAGGCACTATAAACATTCTCCAAAAGCCACGCAGCCCCCTGCACAGAGCAAGGAAGACATTAGTCATCGTTCCCAAGGAGACTCAAACATCCGGCCCAGGGAGCCGGAGCTGCTGCAGGGAACTCAGCCTATTAACGCATCCGTAAGCATACAGCTAATTGAGTGGTACATGATGAAACAGGGCTGGCTCTGCAGCGGTAACGTCCTGCTCCAGAGAGGCTGGCTCCCACCCGGTGACCGCAGTTTGAATCCCCAGCCCAGCCAGCCTGAAATAAGCCAGGCATATGCATGTGTGAGTGCCCCAGATCTTACGGACTGGAGGAAGGGGACTGTGGCATGACCAGATCCTTGGAGGGGACCCTTTCCCACTCTCTCTCTCTCTCACTCTTGCATGTGTACACTTGCACTTTCAAAATACCTAGCAGTCCTCACCTCTTTCCTCTCAAGCAACCAGTAAGAATCACTACTCAAAGGCCCACAAGAAAATCAACCCACTGGGACCAGCAGTTAGCGTAATGGCTATGTCGCTGGACTCCCATGTAGTCGACTGCGGTTCAAGTCCCAGACCCGGCGGCTTAAACTCACACCAAACGCGTGTGCGTGCATGCCCCTGATCCCGAGAGGAGAATGGAGGAGAAGGGATTGTGGCGTGGCCATCCCCCCTGGGGGGGTGATTTCTCGCTTTCTGTCTCTCTGTCTCTCTATATCTCTCTGGAGCAAAAACCTCTCCAAAAATTAATTAATTAATTTTTTAAAAAAAGCAACCCACCTCTTCAATCTCCTTCCCAGGATTCAGATACCCTAGGGGAACACCTCACACCCAAAACAATGACCAAAAGGCAAAGTTTGCAATGATGCCCTCGGCAGTAAAGCAGGTCCAGTCATGTCCCTCACACCGCAGCTCTGAAGAGTCTCAATCACACGACCTTAAGGACTGTGATGTCGGGGAGGACAGGACATGGGCATTCATTTACCCCCCACCCCCGTCCCCAGTTCTCAGGCGTGGTCTGCCAACCTCCAGGGGCCCCCACATCCTTTCAGGGAACTCAAAACTATTCCCACAGTCATAATATGACCCAATTTGCCTCTTGCTCTGTGTCAATTTTGTGTGCAAAGCAATAGCAAGAAAAAAACGCTGGCCCTGGGCATGCTTCAAGGCAGTGGTGGCCAACGGTACCAGTACCCAGGGGATCCTTTACCACCGCTTCCTCGCAGCACGAGCAAGAGAAAGTTCATTTCGGGTCAGCCCATGCCACTGTGGTTAAGCTACCTGGATCCCACATGGCCAGTGGTGAGGTCTGCCCAGACTGGGCACCTGTGCGTGTGTGCCCTAGCACTGAAAGGAGGGAGAAGGAGAGGAGAAGGGATTGTGGCGAGACCACTCCCAATGGGGGATGGTTCTCACTTTCTCTCTCTCACTCTTTCTGTTTCTCTCCAGCCCACATGCCCTCTAGCCAAACTTCATAAAGAATAATAAAAGTTCATTTTACCTAAGACTGTCCATGCAGAACAAAAAGTATTGATTTTATTTCCTTTACACCCTAACCCCCACATGCCTCATACTCTCTGGGTATGGAGGATGGTGCTCAGAGCCCATGTGGCCAGCTAAGCTCTGAGTAAACAGGCTGTTTTGATCACTGAGCTACCGCCTGGCAACTGTAATTCTTCTGACTCGGGTATTGGGCAGGCATTCTCTTGAAAATTAATTAAACTTGTCACCTCAAGGGGAACAAATCATATATTGGTACTGATAAACTGTAAGTTGTCAGGCAAAAAAAAAAAAAAGTAAAATTTGGGAAAACTAGGGGCCAGCGGGTGGCAAGGAGATTAAGCCATCGGATCCCATATGGTTGACTCCACAATTCAGGCCCGGACTCGACAGCTTGAAAATCACACCAGGCGAGGACAGCAGGTGACACTGCACTGCAGCATAGCCATTCCACCTGGAGGGTGATTTCTCGCTTTCCCTCTTACTCTCTCTGTCTCTCTCTACCTGTGCCCTATAAGCAAAAAAATGATTTTTTCTAAAACTTCTATCTGCCTATGTGAGCTTGAAGACTTTGTAATGCTTAATATCTTTTCTGATAAGTGGAGTGATGACATCAACAAATGAGTTTTTATTTTTTTGGTGTGATTTATTTTTTATAATTTATTTAATTATTTATCTATTTATTTGTTGTGATTTTTCAAGCTGCTGGGTCCAGGACTCGAATTACAGTCTGCCATGTGGGAATCCAGTGCTTTAATCACCACGCCACCTGCTGGCCCTGGTGTGATTTATTTTTTAATTGCTACGGTGCATGTGTGCTCACCAGACAGAGGCAGAAAGAGAGGAAGAAAGTGCCCCCTTTGACATGGGTATACTGCAATCCTTTACCTCCGTTTCTCCATCCTGCCAGGACTTGGGACACATACACACACACACACAGTGTGTTTTTCAAGTCAGTAGGGCTGGGATTCAAACTACAGTTTGCTATGTGAGATCCAGCTCCCATAATGACTAGGCTACGGGGCTGACCCTGGTGTGTGGGGTTTTTTTTTGTTTTTGTTTTTGTTTTTGTTTTTGTTTTTGTTTTTGTTTTTGTATAATGATGTGTGTCCACATTTGAAAATTCTATATAACTCAGTTAAGCAGTTTTCTGAATGACCAATGCACTATGTTGCTAAATCATGTGGGAGCAAAAAATTAAAGTATAAAACAGACCAACGAAAACCGATGAAGTACAAAAGATTCATTTATATGGTTCAAGATTCTACAATTAAGGGGCAGGCATGTAGAATGATGGTTAAGGCACTAGATTCCTGCATGGCTGACCGTGCTTCAAGTCCTGGACCTGGCAGCTTACTCTCTCACTTTCTTTCTCTCTCTCATCCTCTCTGGTCAAATTAAAAAGTAAAAATAAAAAACAAAATTAAATACATAAATAATTCTTTAAATAAATTTTTAAAAATATTCTATAATAAAAATCTACAACTTGAGGGCCAGCAGGTGGCATGGTGGTTAAGGTGCTGGACAGTCCCACATGACTGACCACAGTTCAAGTCCCAGACCTAGTGGTTTGCTTTCTCACTTTCTCTCTTAATCCTTCTCTCTCTCTCTCTCTCTCTCTCTCTCTGTGTGTGTGTGTGTGTGTGTGTGTCTGTCTGTCTGTCAGTTTCTGGTCAAATTAAAATAAATGAATAAATAAATAAATTTGAATAAATAATTCTTTTTTTTAATCTACAACTTGTTTAGTTTCAGCATAGTAAAAAAAATAAATAAATAAAAAAGTACCTCAGCTTTTTGGAAAGGCTGTTAAAATGCGTTTCCCTTTTCTGACTGTTCGTCTGTGTAAGGCCAGATTTTCTTCACTCACTTCAACTAAAACACCATATTGCAATAGACCAAAATGCAGAAGCAAATATGGGACTGGAACTGGCTTATACTAAGCTAGACATTAAAGAGATTAGCAGAAAAATGTGAAATAATTCCTCTCATCTCACGAATTTTTTGTCTTGGAAAATACAGATCTTTCATGTAAAAGACCTTGTTCTGGGCCAGCCCCATAGTACAGCAAGTAATCCCTGCACAGAGGAAGCCAATCCCACATGGCCAATGAGGCTTTGAATCCCAGCCTGGTGTCCTGAAAAACACGCCAGGCGTGCGCAGCAGATGTGCCCGAGATCCAGGTGGGATGGAGAATCGGAGAAGAGAGTGTAGCATGACCAGAAACTGTCGGAGAGGGTCTCACTTTCTCCCTCTCTCTCATGCATGCACGCACACTCTGGCCGTAAGAAGACACTGTGCTACGTGTGATCTGTTTACTATTATCATTTTTAATGATTTCATAGGTAATTTTTTTTTAATTTTTCCGTTTTAGTTTTTAATATCGTACATGTCAATAGGCACAACCCACATGTAAACAAAAACCACTCTGGGCTCCTCAGTCATTTTAAGAGCATAACAACACCCTGAGACTAAAAGTCTGAGAACTACTGATGCAGTCGAACCTCTCAACCAGACAGGCTTGTTTTCTACCTGATATCCAGGAGATGAGGTGCCTAACTGCCTCTTCATGCAGCTCTTCTAGTTCCTTCTAAAACAGCCTGCCTCTCTGCTGAGGCAGCTCTGACTACCGAGAGCTCCTCATACCAACCTGTACCCACAGCTGTACTCTCTGGAGTCACCAGGCAAGTCTACACCATTCAGTCCAACAAAGACTACTCCCTTGAGTGAGCACGCACCATGCACTATACATAAACATAATGTAGTCCCTGCTCTCAGGAGGCTTACAGACCAAGGTCAGGATGGCTAACAGGGTCCAGTCTCCATGGCAGAGAGGTGGCATACTGAACTGCATTCTGGAGGCCACAAGGCCCATGTGGGTTCAGATCCCTGGTCCATTTGACCTGAAGCATGCTGGGTGCATGTGCCCAGGATTCCTGATGAGCTACAGGGCTGGGGAAGGAGTTGGTGGTGTGGAGGTCCATATCTGTCTCTGTCTCTGTCTCTGTCTCTGTCTCTCTCTCTCTCTCCCATGTGCATGTTCTTCTCTATCAGGAAGAAAATAAACTTTAAACATCAAACAAAATGTAAAGGGGTCGGGCTTACAGCATAGGGGCGAGTGCTATATGGCCGGCTGCCACATAGCTGAGTGCTGTTGGAAACCCAGCCCTGGCAGCTTAAAAGGCACACCAGGTAGGATGGACACGCAGAGTCTGGACGGGATGGAGAAAGGGAAGAAAAAGGATTGCATGATCATCCCCCATCGGGGTCTCTCACTCACTTGCTCTCTCTCCCCTCCCCTCCGGCAAAAGTACATGCCCTCTGGTGACTAAAAAATATTTTATAAAAAAATAATGCTTTAAAAGATGGCTAACGGACCAGCTGGTGGTGTGGTAGCTATGGCAGCTGGATCCCATGTGGCCGATGGTATGGTTTGGGTCCCCGACCCAGCAGCTTAAAAACCATGTGAAGCACAAGTGCACTCATGCCCAAAATCAAAATGAGAAATGGAAAAGAGAGTATAGCATAACCATCCAAAACCATGTTTTCTTACATTTCCCCCCCCTCCTCCATCAAGCACATGTACCCTCTGGCAAATTTAAAACACAAAACAAAACAAAAAGATGGCTAAAAGAATTCACCTCAGGGCCAACAGATAGCAAAGTGGTTATGTTGTTGGACTTTCGCATGGCCAACTGTGGTTCAAGTCCCAGACCTGGCAGCTTGAAACACACTAGGCGTATATGTGTGCATGCCCAAGATCCCAGGAGGAAAAGGGATTGAGGTGTAGCCATCCCCCCTGGGGGGGATGATTTCCCACTTTCCCCATTATTATCTCTGTCTCTCTATCTCTCTGGTGAGTGTATATGCCCTATCGCAAAAAACCTCTTAAAAAAAAAAAAAAAAGAATTCACCTCACATGCCTCTCCAGTTCATCCATTTGTAGTAGCAAGCAGAGGTACCCCAGGTGCCCTGAACTCACCACTGTGCTTAACAGGAAAAAGCACCAAGATCATCTTGCAGTGTCTGGCGCAGCATAGCACTCAGACCGGCCATCAGAAACCCATCTATTTGGTACCTTGGGACTGGACTATTCCTACCCTCCACATCTGAAGAAATCTTCATCTGCTGACATCCCACAAGACTTTCTCCTCATGAGAGTAAACATCTCCAAATCTTATCATTCTCTCCAAACTCTTCCCCTTCCTATCCCCTTTCTTCTGGACACGATTCAGTTTGGAAATGCGCTTCGTCGATGACACAACACCTAGGAAAGGCTGACATCAGGTCGTGGCCTGACTCACACAGAGGGGAGCAGACCCTCCCTGAGTCACACAGAGGGGAGCAGACGCTCCCTGAGTCACACAGAGGGGAGCCGACCCTCCCTTCCTCGATCTGACCCCTGAGACTGAATGGTCATGAAAGGACTGAAATTCCCAAGTCCGAAAGGGCCTTAGAGCCCACAAAAGAGCCCACAGCCAAGAGAAAAAACAACCTTAACCAAAGTCTCCTCAAGAACAGGACAGAGTCAGGGAGGGAACCCTCTTCTTCCTGTCCTAATTCCAAATGAAGTGGGAGAACAGAGCTGGTGTCTCCACACATCGAAAGATACAGCAGCAAAGGGAGAGTGCAGGCGACTGGGTACGGACAGAAGCAATGTTTTTTTTAAGTTTATTCATTTTACTCGTGATAGAGAATATGTACGCACTTGCAAAAAAATGAGAGTGGGAGAGAGAGAAGCACTGCCCTCAACAGGGTTTCATCACACCGCGAGACCCTTCCTCCCGTACTCCAGCCTGCCAGGATCCTGGGTGCACACACATGTACCTGGAGTATTTAAGGTCAACCGGGCCAGGCGTCTGAACCCGGTGGGCCAGATGGCTTCCAGCCCCGCAGGCCGGTACACCACTGACTGTGCCCTAGGCTGGGCCCACGCACCTAGACTGTGTGCATTCATGGTATTGCGCATGATGATTTCTAACCAGCCAGTGCCTTTTCATGAAAGGGGAGGAACAGAAAATACATTGGTGTCAGGACAAAATGTAGCCTACAAAAAAACAGTGAACTAGCCAACAAAACCAGAGATGAGAATCCAGGAGATGCTTAAGGGGATCCTGAGGCAGTCATTCAGCAGGGAGACTATAAAATGATGTGTTCGATTTGTAGAATTATTTTTTTGAAAGAGTATGAGAGGATGAATAATGACCCCAAAGTTGTCAACACCCTGATCCCTGGAATCTGTGAATGCACCATGTGGGAAAACGGACCCCATGGATGTAAACTAAGAATCATGACATGGGGCCAGAGGAAAAGAAAACAGGAACGAAATAAATAGAACTATAAGGAATGGGGTTTCCTTCCCCTTTTAACTCTTGTGTTTCCAAAAACAAAAATCTTTTTAAAGACATTCTCTAGACTAGGCTAGGTCCTCTACTCCTGAATTGCAAAGACCAAGCTGGGTAGGTGTGCTCTCACACAGCAAAGGTACATGCTGGGTTGTCGGAAAAGTCATGATACATTTTACACAGGGAAAAAAAAAAACTATAAAACTATAGTAGTATCCGCCTCACTGATAAGATAGACAAACTGAGGGTGGGAAGGAGGCCGGTGCCCGAGGCCCCATGGGTCATTCATGATAGAGCTAGGGAGGAAATAGAGGCCAGTGTTTCTCTTTTGCCCGCATACATCCCACTTAAAATAAGGGTTAGTACCCCCAAATAAACCCTTAGGCAATGCCTTAAGCCCGGTTCCCGTAACAACTGAAAGAGCAATAGCCCCACCTGTGGGGAACTGGCAGTGGGCCCGGCCATCATGCCTCGCACGATCAGGCCAGACTTTGGCCTGGTCTTCTCTCCCACCCTCTTCACTTCCAAGGAAGGCTCTGGCGAGTGACGCTTCTCCATCTTCTCCCACACGGAAGCCAAGTGGGGGCTTTCACCCGAGACCACCTGCACGGGCTTACTTTTGTGTGGTGGCCTTTTGGATGATACAAAATTACCAAGCACATCCCCATCAAGATTTTCTTGTCTGTGAAAAAAAGAATACTTCCATTAAAACACACTCCTCCAAAGGAATTCGGTAACCTCAGTAATACATGCCACATTCAAGAGGACTCATAACAAGCTCACTAATAAATACATAATAATTTCTAGCTAGCCAGTGCTTTATCATGAAAGGTAAGAAATAGAAATTGCTTTGGTGTCAGGACAAAGCTAGCCTACAAAAAAACAATAAACAAACCAAAACCAGAGATGAGAATCCATGATAGGATCCCTCAAGTCATTCGATCTGAAGAGCAGCCTTGGTCTTCCAGGCCCGAGCGACTGAGCACAACCATAGCCCTTCGATACAATCACGGGGTACGTGAAGCCCAGCGTCACTGCACCACTGAGCGTAAGTGGCTAAAACTCTTAGGAAGGGTCAGCCCACGGCCTAGTGGTTAAGGGTGCCAGACCCCACATGGCCAAGCACAGATCAAATCCCAGCCCTGGGAGTTTGAAAAACACACCAGGTGCATATGCCTGTATGCGGGCCCACAATCCCAACAGGAGGGAGAGAGGGAGGAGAAAGGATTTCAGGGTGATCATGTGCCATGGGAAATGCTTTCTCCTCTCCTCTCTCTGTTCCTTTGTCTCGCTAATGTGAGTGCACACACCTTCTAGCAAAAAAAAAAAAAGAAAAAAGAAAGAAAAAAGGAAAGACTGACAATTCAGGGCCCAGACTGTGGTGCAGCAGGAAAGCGTAACTCTCAGGAAACCCACATGGGCCTCCATGAGTACACCGGGTGCACACTTGCCCGCGATCCAGGGCTGGCTGAAGATTGGGCATGGGCCGCGGCATGAAGACTCTGTGGGTAGGCTGTCTCTCTCCCCCTCTCTTGCACATGGAAGAAATAAACTTAAAAAGAAAAAGAAAAAAGAATGCCTTTTCTTTTTTTTAATTCCTGGAATTTCTAAGCCTGTTTTCAGACTTTCCCTTCTCTGTGGTATATTGTTTTCTTTTAGGATACTCCTACTTTTAAGAATATCAGGGAGGCCAGGAGGTGGTGTGGTGGTTGAGGCATTGGACTTCCTACACGGCAAACCACAGCTTGAGTCCCAGACCTGGCAGCTTGTGTGTTTTTTTGTTTTTTGTTTTTTTGTTTCTTTTTACTTTCCTTCACTCTCTCTCTCTCTCTCTCTCTCTGGTGAATGCATGTGAAAACATAATAATGATAATAAATAAAATAAAGTAATTCTTAAGAAAAAACTCAAACAAAGCAATCCCCTCAACCTTACAAGCCATAGAATGTAAAATAAGCATGTGGATGAAAGTACTCTCCACCACAAGTGGTTCATTCTCATGGCTTCTAGAAGGAAACAGCAGTGCTCCACGACAGAGCTTCTGAGAGCACAGAGTTTAAGAGGATGAATAATGACCCCAAAGTTGTCAACATCCTGATCCCTGGAATCCGTGAATGCATCACTTGGGAAAATGGACCCCATGGATGTAAATTAAGAATCATGACATGGGACCAGCCAGTAGAGTGGTTGGTGTGGTGATTCAAGCAACTGGATCCCACAGGGCCGAAAGCAAGGTTCAGATCCCAGACCCAGCAACATGAAAATCACAGTGGGCACTTCTGTGTACATACCCAAAATCCCAAAAGGAGAGATGTAAAAGGGATTATGGCATGGCCATCTCTGATAGAGATGCTTTAAAAAAAAAATAAAAAGAATCACGACATGGGAGATCATCTTGGATTATATGGTGGGCCAAATCAAATCATTAAATGAAGACAAAGGATGGTAGTAGTGAAGTTCAGAGGTGTGAGGACGCAGCAGAGGTTGGGGCCGTGTGAGGTGTGAGGACGCACCAGAGGTTGGAGCCACGTGAGGTGGGAGGACGCAGCGGAGGTTGGAGCCACGTGAGGTGGGAGGACGCAGCGGAGGTTGGAGCCACGTGAGGTGGGAGGACGCAGCGGAGGTTGGAGCCACGTGAGGTGGGAGGACGCAGCGGAGGTTGGAGCCACGTGAGGTGGGAGGACGCAGCGGAGGTTGGAGCCACGTGAGGTGGGAGGACGCAGCGGAGGTTGGAGCCACGTGAGGTGGGAGGACGCAGCGGAGGTTGGAGCCACGTGAGGTGGGAGGACGCAGCGGAGGTTGGAGCCACGTGAGGTGGGAGGACGCAGCGGAGGTTGGAGCCACGTGAGGTGGGAGGACGCAGCGGAGGTTGGAGCCACGTGAGGTGGGAGGACGCAGCGGAGGTTGGAGCCACGTGAGGTGGGAGGACGCAGCGGAGGTTGGAGCCACGTGAGGTGGGAGGACGCAGCGGAGGTTGGAGCCACGTGAGGTGGGAGGACGCAGCGGAGGTTGGAGCCACGTGAGGTGGGAGGACGCAGCGGAGGTTGGAGCCACGTGAGGTGGGAGGACACAGAGGAGGTTGGAGTGATGTGAGGTGTGAGGACACAGCGGAGGTTGGAGCCACGTGAGGTGTGAGGACACAGTGGAGGTTGGAGCCACGTGAGGTGTGAGGATACAGCGGAAGTTGGAGTGATGTGCTTCAAGACTGAAGGAATCACAAACCAAAGGGTGCAGATGGCCCCCAAAAGCCAAAAAACGAAAGGGAATGGAATCTCCTCTCAGAGCTGCCTAAGAAACTGGTCCTGTTGACATCTTGCCTTTAGCCAGTGAGACTAATTTCAGACTTCTGACTTCCAGAACTGTGTGAATAATTTCATATTACTTTAAGCCACTATGAGGGTTAAATTTTATATCAAGCTGACCAGGTCGTGGGGCTCAGTCATTTGGTCAAACAAGGGTCTAGAGGTTGCTGTGGATGCATTTTGTAAATGGAATGTCCAGGTACCATCTTTGACTTTAAGTACAGAAGATGATCTTCAGTGACACAGTGGGCCTAAGCCTATCGGTCGAGGGCCTTAGGAGCAAAATCCGAGGTTTCCCAAAGAAGAGAGAATTCCTCCTCAAGACTCTAGTTTTGAAACTCTGTGTTTCCCACCTACTCACCTGCCCTTCACATGTCAGACTGGTCAGCATGCACAATTTCATGACCCAACTCCTTAAAATATGCCTGTGTGTGTACTATCTAACCTAGGAATTCTGTTTCTCTGGAGAACACTGATACAGCCATCAGATTTATAGAGATTTGTTACAGCAGCCACAGAAAACTGATACACACAGGAAATGGGAAGAGATACCTGGCTCTGCTTGTTTCTGACAACGATGTTCTCCATCCTGCATCTTCATCTGAAAGGTCATATATATTCACCAGCGTAGTCTCCGAGCATTTCAATGGCAATTTGTTATTTTTCTTTGGAACCGAGAGTGCAGGGATTGGTGTCTCTTGAGTGAAATTGTTAGCAGCATTTCCAAAGTGATCCAGAAAATATCTGGTCATCAGTTCAAGGCTTGTTTTTAGAGGATTTTCCTTTGCCTATCATAGGAAGGAAAACAAAAAATCAGTAATTGTATGGGCAGCTTCAGTAGGAGGGTAGAAAAGACAACTTTTCTTATTCCTTACCATACTTTTCAACATCTCACTCATTCATAGGTGCATTCAAACACTCCCTGGCTGTCAGGTATGTGTTGGGGTGGGACACAGGGAAAAAGACAAAAATTTTACCCTAAAAGAATTAGCACCCAATGAACGTGTTGGATAATTCAAGGAACAATTACAGTAAAATGTAATATGAATAGAAGAATGACCCAGTAAACTTCCTTAGGTTACTTCCTACTAGGAATAACTTCACAAAACATATGTTCTTTCACTTACAAACCTTTAAAAGAAAAGTAAGTGAAAATAATAGTAATAATAATAATAATAATTGCTAGAGGGTATGTGTGCTTGCCAGAGGAAAAAATATAGAGGGACTGGGATCAGCGGTTGGCGTAATGGCTATGTCGCTGGACTCCCATCCAGTCGACCGCGGTTTGAGTCCTGGACCCGGTGGCTTAAACTCACACTAGGTACATGTCCATGCGTGCCCAAGATCTCAAGAGGAGAATAGAGGAGAAGGGATTGTGGTGTGGCCATTCCTTCTTGCTTTCTGTCTTTCTGTCTCTGTCTTTCTGGTGAGCACATGTGCCCTATAGCAAAAACCTTTCCAAAAAAAAAAAAGATAGAGGGGCCAACCAGCAGTATGGTAGTTAAGGGGCTAGGCTCCCACATGGCCGACCATGGTTTGAGTCCCAGACCCAGTGGTTTGAAAATCATTCCAGGCACATGTGCATGCATGCCCCAAATCCCAAGAAGACAATGGAGGAAAAGGGACTGTGCGGTAGCCATGCACCCTGGGTGGGGGGGAGGATGATTTCTCACTTTCCCTCTCTCTGTTTCTCTCCATCTCTCTCTAGCAAGCACAAGAAAAAAGATATTAAGTTAGAGGGGGAGGGAGAAACCACCTCCCCCAGTGAGGCGTGGTCATGCCGCAATCCCTTCTCCATTCTTTATCCTGTCAGGACCTAGAGAATACAAGCACACGTACCAGTGTTTTCTCAAGCCAAGGGAAGTGGTGTCTCAGTGTCAGCCACCAGGGCCAGGCCTCAAGCACCAGTCGGCCATTAGACTACAAGGCCTGCCCAATGAAGCTCTTTAGGAGCAGATTTTAGAAATAAAGAATAGAAGTATTTTCCATCTCTGCCTGTACTAAATATTCCCTTTGGTGGCTATTTTTACAAACACAGGTTTCCACACCCCACTTCTAGACCAGAATAGGGAAGACTGGAGCCCTGATCTCTTTTAACATTGCCCTACGTAGGCTTAGTCATGGTGGCTCACACTGCCAGGACACTACTGCTGGAGGCCAGGGCTGAATGGGAGGCCTAGGTTTAGTTCTCGACCAACCCAAACAGGCAGGGTACAGTTACGGCACAGGCCTGTGGTCCTAGGCAGCTGGGAGGCTGGAGCAGGAGGATCCCAACATGGTGAGACCCTATCAGAAATCAATGTATCTTTCCCCCATCTTCCCACCACCCCCAGTATGACAGCAGTTCAAATAGTTTAATGGGGAAAAAAAATCATTAAAATACAAGTTTATTTTGGTGCAAAACTTATTTTTAAATCCATGCATACTTTGGTTTCTTTTTTTTTTTAATTGTTTTAGTTTATGCCAGAGACTAGACGCTCTCATCAGAAAGAAACAGAGAGACAGGAAGACAGAGAAGAGGAGAAAGCACCCCCCAATGGGGTATGGTCCCATCATAATCCCTTCTCCATTTCTCCATCCTATCAGGATTTGGGGCACACATGTGCACATGCCCGGAGTGTTTATTGGGGCCAGCCTACATCATTTTTTCATGATACACATTTTCCATGACCTTTTTAAAGACCCTTCATAAATAAATCAACTTTAAAAAACATTTTCCTGGGGAGTGTGGACAGGCATGACTACCCAAGCAATGATCCACAGGCTGGCTCAGGGACCAGGCTCTGTGTCTGTCCTCACACCTCTTGCTTACAATGCCATTTCCAAGGCCTTGCTGAGCTGTGGCCAGACATGGGGCCTTCAGTGATTTTGCAGTTGGAGTAGTAAAACTTCTCTCTGACACAGAGCCCTGCTCAGGAGGGCCCTCCGGGTATGCCACACCGTCTCTCCCTTCTATACCTCTGTTCCATGCAGTAGAAGTTCCAGGAACAAGACCCACAGCCAAAGGGCTAGGATCAAATTCAACAGACTTATCGCAGTCAAAAGCAGAGACAGTGTGGGGGATTTTTTGGTTTCTTTTTAGTATAAGAAGGAAAAAAAATTACTTTGTCTCTATCTAAATGAAGCTTACAGTGAAGGGAGTTGGAGCAAAAGTATCACCCCTGCGGGGAGTGGTTACACCACAGTCCCTCCTGCATCCTGTCAGGATTTGGGGCCTGCACACAGGCCCAGCGTGTTTCTCAAGCTGCTAGCCCAGGATTTAAACCTCAAAATCAGCCATGTGGGATATCTGGCTGCCTTAACCACCAGGCCATGGAGAGGACCCCAGATACCATTTTTCTAAACCTCAATTTTACATCGGCATTTTTTAGCACAAAGAGAGATTTTTGCTGCAGAGTGCATGCACTCGCCAAAAGACAGGAAGAGACAGAGAGAGAAAGTGAGAAATCACTCCCTGAGGGAATGGCCATGCCGCAATCCCTTCTCCTCTGTTCCTCTCTCAGGATTTCAGATGTGCACACACACGCACTTGGGGTGAGTTTCAAGCCTCTAGGTCCAGGACTCGAAACACAGTCAGCGGTGTGGGAGTCTAGCACCTAAACCACTATGCATGTCACCTGCTCGGCCCTACATAGGCATTTTTTAAAGTTTATTTATTTCTTTAATGGCATGGAGAGAGAAAAAAATAGACACCCCCAAACGGGTCTTCATGCTGCAACTTACCCTGGTCTCTGCCAGCCTGGATCACAGGCATGCATGCGCCCCAAGTGCTCAAGAAGGACCTAGGATATGAACCCAGGACCTTCTACATATGGATCTAGTTGCCTTACCACTGCACTACTTCCCAGCCCCTACAAAGCCATTCTTACCTATTGTATACCTAATAGGGAAAAGTAAATTACTGGAAGCCACAACATTAAATTGCAGGGTTTTCCCAGCATCATGCTAGCTTTGTGCTGAGTGAAAATCAAAAGTATTATACAAAAGATAAATGAAGGAGTGCATTTTTCTCTAAAACATGTGTTCTGGTTCACTGCATCATAGCTAATAACCACTGTCTCGGTCAGATAATCTGGGCACTTATGAATAGCTAATGAAAATATCCTAAGTGTCTTAAGAGGACAGTTACCTTAGGGAGACTGTATTACAGTGAGAAAATTAAAAATGGCTTGAATGGCAAAGACACTTTGGGGAAATTAGGTAAAGGTGTATTTACATAAAAATTCCAATGTACTAGAGTGGTGCACTGAATTGTCTGGGTAACAGTCTCACTCTGTACGGAATTTTCCTAAAAGGTACGGCCCGCTCTCCTGCCTGGCAGGCAGATATCGCCAAGTGCCTGCTGTCTGGGTCAACAGTCTTCTTGCTACAGGACTCCCACTGAGTGTGTATAGGAGACGGAAGTCTCTCGGTGTCACCCAAGGACCCGGAGGACAAAGGTCATCTATGTGATCTCTTTCCTGAGCCTCTGATATGACATCTCCTGGTTACCAATACCCGTTTCTCCACCAAGGGGAACATAAGAATTTCTGGCAACCCGAGTGCACCTGCAGTTTGGGTGCCAGTGGGTCGAGGTTCATCTGAAATTCCATCCTTCCCTTTGTTGAGAGAAGCCTGGCCTAAGTGAGTGGTTTCCAAGCAGTTTGGAGTTTCCTCAGTGTGTCTCAGAAATAGCATTGTTCCAGGACCAGCAGTCAGCGTAATGGCTATGTCGCTGCACTCCCATGTAGCTGACTGCAGTATGAGACCCTGCCCCAGCAGCTTAAACTCACGCTGGGCGCATGTGCGTGCGTGCATGCCCAAGATCCTGAGAGGAGAACAGAGGAGAAGGGATTGCAGCGTTGCCATCCCCCCGGGGGGCGATTTCTCGCTTTCTGTCTCTCTGTCTCTGTCTTTCTGGCGAGCGCACACACCCTATAGCAAAAACCTCTCCAAAAAAAAAGAAATAGCCTTGTTCCCACCCCATACCAACCGATCTGCTAAGATTCCACCTGAAAAGAGAATGAAAATAAGCTTGGCCACTGTTACTGTAATAGAACTGGGAATCAGGAGTCCTGGTTCTCACCTCATCTCCTCCCTGTAACTGACTGCGAGACCTTAGACCGCTACCTTTGCTTCTGGTCACAGCTTCTCTGGGCAAGTGGGGTGGGCGGTGGGCAGCGGTCAGTGTTTTAAACCCTGGAGCATGCCCAGAGGCCAACCTGGCAGCCCTCCTTATCCTCCCTTCAAATAGAGCAGCTTCTCTTCTCTGTTTTCCATGTTGGACTCCCTTATGAGGTATCATTATTTTTTAATGGTGATAAATCCTGAACTACTTATTCATCATCCATTTCTTTCTGATTCTGACACTGTGGCCAGTCCCAAGGCTACCTTTGCTGGAGAGTCCATTCTTTTATCGAGCTAAAGGCTTCTGTCTTCATAACAGAAAAGGCAAGTAAACCAGAATTACAGCTTCATTCATGCCTGTGCTCAGTCATCCATTCGTTTATCTCATGAATGCGTACTGATTATTCACCATGTCATCAGACAACACTGTAAGTGTGGGGATACAAGAGCGAAAAAGAGACACCATCCCTGGCCTTCTGCTGTGTCCAAGGTGGTGGGGGAGACAGATCTAATTAAATAATCACACAATATTCCATCACAAATATGATAAGCACACACACAAAAAAGGAAAACTAGAACAGCTCCAAGGGCACAGTGGCAATGCAACACACCGCAATGCAAAGGCCACATGGAAAGGTCCTGGGTTCAAAGCCCGGGATCTCCCTGAGCACTCCACGTGCACACATGTGCCTGTGATCCTGGTCGGCTGAACCTAGGGGTAGATCATGGCATGAGGACCCTGTTAGGGTCCCTCTCTCTCTCTGTGTCTCTTAGAAGAAATAAATAAACTGTTTTGTTTTTTGGTTTTTTGTGGGTTTTTTTGAGAGATTTTTGCTTTAGGGCATGTGCACTTCCAGACAGACAGAGAGAGACAGAGAGACAGAAAGCAAGAAATCACCCCCCGGGGGGATGGCCACACCACAATCCCTTCTGCTCCATTCTCCTCTTGGGATCTTGGGCATGCACGCACACATGCCTGGTGTGAGTTTAAGCCACCAGGTCCAGGACTCAAACCATGGTCAACTACGTGGGAGTCCAGTGACATAGCCATTACACCAACTGCTGATCTCATAAATAAACTTTTTAAAAGGGGGAGGGCAACAGGTGGCATGGTGGTTAAGGCGCTGGACTCTCACATGGCTGACTGTAGTTCAAGTCCTGGACCCAATGGTTTGACATCCCACTGGATGCATATGTGTAAGTGCCCAGAATCCTGAGAGGAGAATGGAGGAGGGATTGTGGCATGGCCATCCCTCATGTGGGATAATTCTCACTTTCTCTCTCCTTGTCTATCTTCAGTAAGCACACACACCCTATGGCAAAAACTTTATTTAAAAATATAAAAGTGGGACCAGCAGTTAGTGTAATCGTTATGTCGCTGGACTCTGACATAATCAACCGCGGTTCACATCCCGGACCCAGTGGTTTAAACACATGCTGAGCACATGTGCGTGCGTACCCAAGATCCCAACAGGAGAACAGAGGAGAAGGGATTGCGGCGTGGCCACCCACCCTGGGGGGTGATTTCTCGCTTTCTGTCTCTCTGTCTCTCTCTGTCTTTCTGGCGAGCGCACATGCCCTATAGCAAAAACCTCTCCAAAAAAAGAAGAAGAAAAAAAAAACATAAAATTACAGAGTGCCCTGAAAGTTTGCAACAGCAGAGGAGGGTAGCAAAGCTTCCCTCCTTCTGAAGGAAGTGCTATTCCATTCACTTCCTTGACTCCAGTGTACTTGGGTTAACTCCACTCAACTCCCTTCTGCCTGAATCACGCGTCACAGTGGACTTAAGACTAAGGTGTTATCCAGGACTGAAGAAGGAAACTCTTACACAGGCAAGGGATGGAAAATTTTAGTATAACTGAATATGCTATTCTTAAGTACAGTCTTACTAAAATTAGCTTCCAGTGGGGAGGAGGGAGCACAGGGAATAACTGTCGGAGGCTGCGCACAGCCCCAGGCTGTGGTTCAAAATGAGCCTAACCACACACAAAACCACACACGCGCAAAACACCGCGGCCGGCTCCAGGCTGACTGGGGCTGGAAACAGACTCACGCGTGGGATTTGTCAGCACTTGGCTGGGTCTGCTGTCTCTGACCGCAGGTGTGTCAGGACAGGAGTGGCCCCCGCTTCCTGCCATCCAGGGCAGGGCCACGGGTGTCCTGGCATCACCAAACGCAATCCCGGATCTCCATGCCACACCTTAAAGGCACGTACTTTGTTCTCCTTGTAGAGAAACTCAAGATGCAAAACCTTGCGAAGGTCGTTTCTGCTGTTGATGCTGAGGTCGGAGCGTGGGCGCTCCTGGTCCATGGTCACACCTGTCCTCTTCAGGCCCTGAGGGGAGAGATCTGAATCACCGTTTACCGTTTTAAATCCAAACCTTCCGCTGCCGCTGACGTGGAGTACAAACAAAAGACCATGTGTCCGTTATGCTCATTCTTACCCCGCCTCCCTCACAAGGATAATGAAAGACCAAACACTGACTTAGGAATCCATTTTCATGTCATCGTTACACGTGACCTCTCCCTCGCAGTTTTGTTATGTTTTGTTTTTTTCCCAACGTTTTTGCCAGAGGGCCCATGCGCACACTGGAGAGAGGGAGCTAGGGAAAGTGAACCTCTGGGTCCAGGACTCGAACCGCAGTCGACCATGTGGGAATCCAGCACCTCCACCACCACGCCACCTGCTGGCCCCACCCTCACAGCTCCTGTTCTGATTCCTACAACAGCCCTGTGGACTGAGCGAAGGCCAGAGTCGTCAGTCCACTTTACAGAGGAGGGAAAGCGAGCTCGGGAGCCCTGGGTTTGACCCTAGATGTAGGGGTCACAGAAGATGAAGTTTAAATATAAACAAAAGGAAAAAACATAAACAAAAGGCCAATATTCACTTTCACTTCTCAGTGGGGGAAACCAGGAGGCACGTTGAGCTCCCTCACTGTGGGGTCCAGCGTCCCGGCCTGGGAGCCTGTGACTCTGGGACCAGGGCTCACCAGAAGCACTCGGCAAATGTTTGCTGAGTTGCCAAGAAAGCTGCTTGACATCATGCCGCCCTGAAGTCCCAGAGGGCCGAGGCTCAGAACCAGCTGAGATACGTGCCACAATGGAAAACGGGGGACGTCTGTTCCCCAGAGAGCCAGGCTCCTTCTTTTGAAAACAACCACGGCAGCTGCTGCCTGCCCACCTCGCGGGACCACTGTGGTCAACAGACAGCTGGAGAATGAGAAGACGCCTCACAAACAGCTGGTGTTAGGGCACACCTGGCCCTTGATGGGTCCCAGGCCCTCAGTGCTGGACAGGCCTTGACTTCTCCCCTCGCCTTCATGTTCAGAACTTTACAGAGACTCCAACTACCAGAAAAACGACACCGAACCCACTACCTGCCACACATTTGAGTAAAAGGGGCAATGTGGGAACCACGAGGTGTGAACACAGCCTTAATCCAGAGTTAAAAGGAGGTTTAAAGGAGGGGAAGCAAAAATATGAGTATACGGGGGCCAGCAGGTGGCATAGTGATTAAGGCACTGGATTCCCACATGGCTGATCACTGTTCAAGTCCTGGACCTGGTAGCTTGAAAATCATGCCAGGCAAGTGTGTGTGCCCCAAATCCCAGGAGAAGAATGGAGGAAAGGGGATTGTAGCAGTGGCCATCCCCCTGGGGGGGTGACTTCTCACTTTCCCTCTCACCATCTTCCTGTCCCTCTCCAGAAAGCACATGTGTCCTCTGGCAAAAACCTAAAAAAAGAACGAAAAAGAAAATAAAAGAAATGAGTGTATGTGTTGGAGAAAAGGCAGATTACGTCCATTAAGGAAGATCAATTGGAAGGTGAGGTTGGACTCACATGCAATCCTTGCCTTTCATCTGAACTTAGCCATGGCTTTCCCACCTTTGAAGTGATACGAAACATTCTCTGAGGGTCTCTCTCCATCGATAACTATTCACATTGGTCAGAAATTGCAATCAGCAAGTCTTGGTACACTTAATGACTCCCTCTGCTTTAGACTGGGGTACACGCAAGCATTTGACAACCACTGGGGTAGGGAGTAAGGGTGCCCTTGGGACTCACCTAGTCCTCAGTCCCATCCAACTTACTGAACATTGACTCACTCAACAAACATTTGTCATGCACCTATTATGTGCCCAGCTCTGCTGGCGGTGCAGGAGGTACAGAGGGAAGAAGAGCGGGCATTCTGCTGGGGAAGCCACAGCTGCTAATGTGCCCTGCTATGGAGACAAACAGGGAGCGCAGAGACAAAGCTCAGCGCCCTATGCTAGACAGGCAGCGACTGACAAAACACCGCCATGCGCTCGCTCTTGTCTTTAGCTCTTCCATTCATCTTAGTCCGTTACTGCACTGTAACAGAAACACCCGAGACTGAGTGACTGATAGAGGAATAAAGGTTTACCGAGTACAGTTCTGGTAGCTGGGAAGTCCAAAGGCATCGCAAAAGAGCAGAAGGCAGAACCTGTCGCAGAGCAGAGCACGATCCATGCTCGCCTCTACTTGCCTCATCTCCTCTCCCTAAAAACCTGCCAGATCCCAATCCTGGGGGTCCCTACTGACTTTTTTGCACTTAAAGACCCCACCCTGCGAGGCCATGAAGGTTTCAGTTTTCACTGAACACCTCTACAGTACAACCAAGGCCCAACACATAAACTTTGAGAGGACATCCCATCACTGCTCACAAGACTAAATTCCAAAACATGAACCTTTGGGGACCAGGGTGGCCAAACGGTAACACCATCTGTGAACATGAAGGACTGGCCCACTAGGCCACTAATCAATCCAGCCGCTGGAGGCAGAGGAGTAAACAGATCAAAGTCCCAGTCCTCATGGAGGTTTCATTCCATATGGAAAAAGACAAATATAACCAAAATGGCATGCTATAGGAAAAAAAGTAGAGTAGAGTAAGGGGATTAAGAGGGCAAGAGGGGCTACAGGAATTGCTGTTTCATAAAAGGTGCTCAATAAAGGCTTCATTGATTAGATGACATTGAAGCAGAGAACTGAGGGAAGCAAGGAAGCAGACCAAGCAAACAATTGGGTGTTCTGGGCAAGAAATGGCACATGCAAAGGCCCTGAGGCAGCCACTGGGAGGCCATCACAGCTCCAGCCCATGCAAAGAGGCAGGAAATGAGGTCAGCAAGGACCCCCCATAGCTGGTGTGATAAGAAAAGGCCTTGTCAGCATTTGTGAAATGGGGGGAGGAGGACTGCTGGCAGGTTTGAAAGGAGCAGCAACAAGGGATAACTTACTTTTTCTTTTGTGTATTTATTTATTTATTGCAATTGTCAGGTCGGTTACCTTTTTTTTTTTTTTCCTATTTATTTGTTTGTTTGTTTTTGTGATGTTTGAGCCTCCTGGTCCGGGACTTGAACCTCAGTTGGTCATATGGGAATCCAGCACCTTAACCACCATGCCACCTGCTGGCCCAAGGGATGATTTACTTTCAATGGATCACTTGGCTGCCAGGTTTAGAACAGATTGTAGGAGGCAGGGGAGCAAGCAAAAACCAACTAGGAGGTCATGGAACCATTCACATGAAAAATGGAGGTGGCTTGGGACCAGCAGTTAGCGTAATGGCTATGTTGCTGGACTCCCATGTAGTCGACCGCGGCTCAAGTCCTGGACCCTTTGGTTTAAACTCACGTCAGGTGCATGTGCGTGCATGCCTAAGACCCTAAGAGGAGAATGGAGGAGAAGGGATTGTGGGGTGGCCATCCCCCTTGGAGGGGGTGACTTCTTGCTTTCTGTCTCTCTGTCTCTCTCTGTCTTTCTGGCAAGTGCAAGCGCCCTATAGTGGAAAAAAAAAAAAAAAAAAATGGAGGTGGCTTGGAGCAGGGAAGTCACAGCAGAAATGGATACTGTGGCTCCATTCTCCATGTGCCTTGATGACAATAAAAACAACTTTGCTAATGGGTCAGACTGGGGTACACAAGAAGGAATAAAGCAAAGAAGAATGTCAAAGTTTTGGGCCCAAGCAATCAGGAGGGTGGAGATGCCACCTACTGAGGATGACAATGTCAACAACTTTGCTAATGGGCCAGACATGAGGTACACAAGAAGGAATAAAGCAAAGAAGAATGTCAAAGTTTTGGGCCCAAGCAATCAGGAGGGTGGAGATGCCACCTACTGAGGTAGGGAATGCTGCAGGAGGAAGAAGAGATTAGAAATTGATTTTTGGACATTGCGACAAACATATGTTTGGTCTTTGTCCCAGGGTGTGGCACACAGTGCCTGAAACTCTTGGAATGATAAGAGTATCCTCTGAATGCTAATGAGATGATGGTGGTTGAGGGGCCCCTAGAAAGCTTCGGGATGGGGGCTAGTCACCAGAAAGAGCAAGTCTTGATTAGAGGGTTGGAACTTTCCACCCCACTTCTCATCCAACCTCCACAGAGGAAAAGGGGCTGGAAATGAACAATGACCAATGATTCAATCAGTCACGCCTATGTCATGGACCCTTCATAAAAGCCCTGAAGAACAGGGTTCAGAGAACTTGGTGCTATGAGGGTGGCGTGCTAGAGAGGGCATGAAAGCTCTGTTCCCCACCCCACCCCTGCTGTGACCTGTATATCCCTCCCATCTGGTTATCCCTGAGCTGCATCCTTCATAATATGCTGGCAAATGTGAGCAAAGTATTTCCCTGAGTTCTCTGAGCCATCCTAGTAAATGATCAAAACTGAGGAATCTTCCATTTATATCCAGTTGGTCCCAACTGCAGGTGCCAACCTGGGACTTGTGAAGCCATCTAAAATGGGAATAGTCTTGTGAGACACAGTCCCTGGCCTGTAAGGTCTACACTAACTCTAGGTAGTGACTGTCAGAATTAAATTGAATTGTCGGCCACCCACTTTGTATCCAAAGAATTGGAGACCTGGTGGGTATGACAGCCGACATGTCACAAGCAGAAACGCTATCAAAGACATGTTAAGTTGAAACGTGTATTAGACACCTAAGTGAACAAGTAAGATTGGCAATTAGAAAGAATTTGAGAAATCAGAGGGAAATTTCAGCTAGAGATTTGGAGACTGTTACTGTGTAAGTGATACCGGGATACACAAGACTGGCTGAGTTGCTGGCAGAATGAATGGACAGAGGGAGATAAGAGAGCCGTAGACTGAGTTTCGAGCCCAATAGCATGCAGGGAAATGAGGAGGAAACCAGCAAAGACCCTGAGAAAGAGCAACTAGAGAAGTAGCAGGAAGCTGGGAGAAGGTGGGCTCCTAGGAGCCAAGCAGAGTAAGTTTCTAAGAAGGACCTAGTCAGCTGTGACAGTCAGGTCGGTTAGTTCAAGAACAGTGAGAAATGAACATCGGAAGTCAATGATGACCTCGACAAAAGTCGTGGCCATGGATTGGTGGGGACAAAAGCCTAATTCAAATGGGTTTGAGAAAGTGGGAGAAGAATTAGAATCAGAGTACGCATAGCTCTTTCATGGGCTTGAGGGTCATGATGGGATTCTGTGAGCGCACTGTGTATATGCTAATAGGATACACCCAGTAGAGAAGGGAGCATGCATGGTGTCAGAGAAAGCAATGCTAGAAACTGGAGCGGTGACCTTGAGCACACCAGAGGGGACAGGAGAGGGGTTAGCCTTACCCAGAAGGGTGGAGAATTCATTTGAAGGAACAGGAGGAAGAACAGTAAGAGGATCCAGCAGAAAGGTTACTAAGTGAGGTGGTGAGAACCTGATGAACTTTGCTCCTGACTTCTATTTTCTCAGCGAAATTAGATGGGAAAGGTGCTTTGGGGTTTAAGGAGGGCAAAGACATGAAACGGCCATCCAGGACTTAAGAGGAGCTAAAGAGACATGATCAGCCTCCCCCAAGACATCACAGAGTGAGTGGTGTGGTCAACATGGGTGGGATAGTTTCTCCCATCCCACTCAGCTCTGTGGGTGCAGGTATGTCCCCCAAATCAGGGACATGGAAAGAAGGAATGGCAAGAGATTCAAGCAAGCCCTGGAGGGCACAATCATACTGATGGTTGAGAAAGAAGTGAAGAGGTTACAGTGAAGTTGAGGGATCGTGAAAGATGGCAGCAACGGTGGAATATAGAGGTGGATGGTGCTGAATGACGTTTGTGTAGGGCAGCAAAGGAGCACAAGCTGGAAATAAGAACAGGTGGGATGCTTGGAAAGGAAAGTACAGAAAGGGAACAGCACTGGTAGCGACAAGCCCAGCTCATGACCATGGAAGGGGTGGTGGAGGTAGGATAGGTCACTGCAGGAGGGAGAGCAAGGGCCTGAGAGGCTGGAGCAACTGAGCAATCCCTTCAGTGGACCTTGATGTCACCATCAGGGAGATTGTCATGACTCCCCTGAAGGTAGACCATGCTTGGCAAGTTCAAGGAGGTGGATGTGGCCTCCAGTAGTGGAAGATGAGGTCTGAGGGGAGCTGAGAGCATGGTCACAGAAAGCCTTGTGGTTTTATTATACTAGAATGTGGCAGAGGGTTTGGAACAGTGGAAGGGCATGGTCTGACTCACTTACCCTATGTAGGTTTCTTGGTTCCCTGGTCTCACAAGAATCTTACATGAAAGAAAATAATTATGACTATCATTCAGACTTAGGAGGATTTAAGAAAATAAACAAGCACCTAGAAGGTTCCTTGCACCATGGTGGATACAACAGCTGGGTATCCGCCTGCCAGAGCCCACTGGGAGAAGACCCTGATGAGAAGAGGTAGCACAGCTGCGGTCTCACCTTTCATGACTTCCTGAGTGACTGTGGGCAACTCCTTTCTACACTCAAGGCCTTAGCGTGCCCAGGCAAAACGTGGGTAGCAGAGGACAAAGGAACCAGACAGTGCCCAAGGTGGTGCTCAGTTTAGAGGCCAGCTCGGTGGCCCTGTCTAGAGGGCAAGACAGACAGTGCCTTGACTATAACCTAAGTGCCACTGAGCAAACCAAAGAGCAGGTGCGTCAACTGAAGTTAGCTGAGAATGTCTCTTGAAGGAGATGGGACTCGGGGTCGGCCTGGGTAGACCAGAGGGAAATATGGGAGATGCTAGAAATGAAGTAGGGATGAGAAGCTTGGGTCAAACCATAAGGCAGCCTTGGGTGTCGGTGGGGACTTTGGACTTCATTTATACTCAAGAAGGGCAGAGCATGAGGAACTCTCTCTGAGGGGCTGTCTTGGTGGCCTAGACTTAAAAGAAATGAATGTAGTTGTCAGCCCCCCAGGGTGCATCTCCAATATTCACCATGTGGCCAGGACTTGGTGATGGAAGGTCAATTAGGCATAAACAACAAATCAAGGAAAACAAAGCAAAATGCTTTATGAAATGTGTCAAGTAGGAACCAGGTGGTGGTGCCGCGGTGACGCACCTGGACCGACACAGGACGCAAACCTGGGACCTCCCTGAGCACCACACCTTTACTGCCTGTGATCCAAGCTGCCTGAGACTTGGAGGGGCAGGAGGGACCCTATTGTGGGTACGTCTCTGTCTCCCTCTCTCAAAAGAGAGAAATACACTTTTCAAAAATTGCATAAATTCGTAGGGAACCAGCAGTTAGCGTAATGGCTATGTCACTGGACTCCCACGTAGTCAAACGCGGTTCCTGTCCCAAACCCGGTGACTTAAAACTCCCGCCGGGCACGTGTGCATGCGTGCCTAGGATCCCGAGAGGAGATTGGAGGAGAAGGGATTGTGGCGTGACCACCCCCTCTGGGGGATGATTTCTCGCTTTCTGTCTCTCTGTCTCTCTCTGTCTGTCTGGCGAGCGCACGCGCCCTACAGCAAAAAGAAAAAAAAAACCTCTCCAAAAAAAAAAAAAAAGGCAATTAACATCTGATATAAAATATCCATAATATACATGATGTTAGATTAAACTAGCCATTAACTATAGATCTTACAAATCAACTAGGAAAATAAACCCACTATATCTTAGAGAAGGCAGAGAAGAGCAAACAAGATCGAGCACACGGCCCTTACAGTGAAAATCTCTCCAAAAAAAAAAAATTGCATAAATTCGTTAGATAAAACCAAATTCTAAAAAGCACACCAAGAACTTGCAGAACAAGTGCCCATCAGAGCTGGGGCCAGGTATAAAGGTGAATGCCCACGAGCACCAGGCACAATCCTGGGGAGCTGTTATCTTCTTATAAACCCTCCAAATAAATCTGCAAAAGGCAAGTCTTGCTTTTCCTGTCTTACAGATAAGGACATCGAGGTAGCGAGTAACATACCCAAGCCCACACTGCATGTTAGTAGCAAATACCCCGTCTGAGGACAAAGGCCTTCCCTTTTCCTCCATTCAGAAATGTGTGAGTGTGAATGCGTGTGCGTGTCTACTCCCAGACAAGAGCCTCACCTCTGCCCACAATGGCACCATAAGGAAACTCAAAGCCCCCAGAGCTTAGCCCTCCATCAGGATGAGAAGAATGGATGGAGGAGTGCTCCCCCTATCCGAGTGTCCAGGGCCCCCAGCCAGCGCCTTCACTGCCTGGTCTCATCTCCCCCCCAAGGGCAGGGCTAAGGACCTCTCCAACTTGTGAACACTTCCAAACTCTCCAGGGACAAGACGATCATCACAGAAATTTATGCAAGAACCGGAATTCGCACTGTTGATTAAAATCACTTAAGAGTTTGGCTGTTGAGAACTTTTTCCAGCCTTTTGGGTTCACTGGGGCTGTCTGGTCATGGAGGCCGGCAGCCAGACCTGGGCTGAGGCCTGCCTGCTGTGCCCAGGCCAGGGGAGATCAGCTCCACCGTGGCAGCCCCCACAGCCCACGCCCACCTGGGCCGCTGCCCGCCCCGGAGAGCAGATGCCTGGGAAGGCTGCAGGCAGGCCAGGCAGCAGCCCTGCCTTGCGGAAGTGCCTGATGACGGTGACACACAGGCTCCTGGGAAATGTAGTCTCCCCTGTCCGGAAAGTGGCGCTCTTGAGGGGGCATCTCTGGAACAGGCGGCCAGCAGGGGAAGGACTCCCTCCCCGGGATGCAAAGATTCCAGGGGAACCCCCAGGCTGCCCCACACACAGCATTAGAGCAACTGCCCAGGCTGCGGAGGGGGCGAGCTGTTACCTTTCTGCTGAGGAACTCCCTGACCAGGGAGGCGGCCACCTCCTCCACAAACAGGCTGTCCATGCCGCCGTCTCTGCCCACGAGGCTGCCAGGCTGCAGCCCCAGGCCTCTTAGTCCGTTGGGCCCAGTATGGCCGTGTTGCTGTGGGGACAGTGGCTTCAGAGCCAGCCAGAACTCCTCCCCTTCCCTGGGAGCCTGCAGGCTGAGCAGGGAAGGGAAGGGAAGGGAAGGGGAGGAGCATCCTTCAAAGCCCGCTTCTCAGATCAGGAGGTAGCAGCCAGAAGCCGGGCCAGGGCTCTAGGCGGGACTCTGGCCCTGTTCCTCTGGGTGGCCCAGAACAAGTCTCAGCTACAATCCGAGTCTCCATTTCCCTGGACATAAAATGGAAAGAAGGCCTCCTTGCTCCTGGAGGACTGACTAAGCCCACATGAAGGGACTCTGCAGGTCCACACGCAGCCCAACAGCCACTCTGGGCTCACCAGGGGCAACCGACCTCTGCTGGCCAGAACCGGTGGGACAGGCAGGACCAGGACCGCTCACCCAGCACTGAAATCAAAGCTAGAATCCCTCAGTCTTGCCTGCTTTTCTGTAATGAGAATTGCCATTAATTGAGACTGTCATTGCTATCACATCTCTAATCCTTACAACTTCCTGGCAAGGTGGCTACCATTGGCTCCATTCTCTAAAACGAGGCACACACATTTAGAAAGACTAAGATTTTGCTGACAGCCACGCAGCTAGGACCTGGAAAAGCTGGGATTCTAGCCAAGCCCATGTCCACCATCAGTTTTCCCAGGCTCAGTTCCTTGGATACCACCTTCACGGTTGTTTCCGTTGGCACATCTGCTGTTGTAATAGTTAACTAGGGTTGCCATATACAGTGTCATGGGCTCCGGGACTGAAACAACACGCTTATCATCTCACAGTTCTGGAGGCTGGAAGTCTAAGATCAAGGTGTCCGATGGAGTGTTTCTTCTGAGGTCTCTCTCCTTGGTTTGCAGGTGACCTTCTCCTGTGTCTTCACATGGTCTTCCCTCTGTGTCTATGTCCTTGTCTCCTGTTATAAGGCCACCAGTCACATTAGGTTAGGGGCCAGCCATCTTATTTTAACTTGTCTCTTTAAAGACCTTCTTATCTAAAAAGTTGCACTGGGGGACCAGGCATTAGGACACCAATATTTAAGTCTGGGGGAATGCAATTCAGCCCTAAGCACCTATACTACTGCTTATGAATTGTTTCTTTACACCAACATACATGTTTTAAAACATATATATATATTTTAGAGAGGTTTTTGCTATAGGGCGTGTGCACTTGCCAGAAAGACAGGGAGAGACAGGGAGACAGAAAGCGAGAAATCACTCCCCAGAGGAGATGGCCATGCCGCAATCCCTTCTCCTCCATTCTCCTCTCGGGATCTTGGGCACGCACGCACACGTGCCCAGTGTGAGTTTAAGCCACTGGGTCTGAGACTAAAACCACATTCGACTACGTGCGAGTCCAGCAACATAGCCATTACGCTAACTGCTGGTCCCTTAAAACATATTTTAAAAGAAAATTGTTCCCTGGTCTGGCTCTGTGGCCTGGTGGTTAAAGCAGCCAGATCCCACATGGACAATGGCACTGTTCAAGTCCTGGACCCAGCAGCTTGAAAAACATGCCAGGCATAAGTGCATGTGTGCCCGAAATCCCCAAACGAGAAGGGATTGCAGCATAACCCTGCTCCGTGGGTGGTGCTTTCTCCTCTTCTTTTTTCTCTGTCTCTCTCTGGCAAGTGCATGTGCCTTCTAACAAAACAAAATAATAAAGAAAGTGTTCCCAAGCAGAATTATCCACAAAACCTTGGGTTTAACATGCTTACATACTTATTAAATCTCCAGTACATAGGGCCAGCAGGTGGCATGGTGTTGGGGCACTGGATCTCACGTGGCCTACTCTGTGGCTCACATCCTGAACCTAGCAGGGAGAAATCCCAAGAGGAGAATGAGAAGGGATTAGAGCATGGCCATCTCCCCAGGGGGATGATTTCTCACTTTCCCTTTCTCTCTGTTTTTCTCCAGCAAGTGCACATGCCCTGTGGGGAAGAAAAAAAAAATCTTATTTAAAAAAATTTAAAAAGCTCTCTAATACCCAGGGCCAGTTCCCTAGAGCAGCCAATAGTAATGTACTATTCAACCAAAGCCAGATGCCACATGGCAACCACGGTTTGGGTCCCCAGCATCTTGTAAAATGGGGAAACCAGAGGAGGAAGAGAGAATGAGGAAACAGGAGCCCAACCGTGCAGGCTTCTGGCCCTCAGGACTGCAGCTTCTACTGTTTATTGGCAATCCTTCGGAGAGTTTTGGGCAGAGGAGAAACAGACTCTGCCTTAAGTTTTGAAAGAATCCCTCTGACTTTCGTTTTGAGAATAGATCTGCAGAGGAGCCAGTATGGAAGCAGGGAGATCGTTGGGAGACCACTGTAGTGGAGGAGTCCGACCCAGTGAGGCCCCAGGATCTGTCTGAGCCCCCAGACCTTTGAGCTCCGCTTCTGGTCGGATCAACACGTTGGCAAGGCTACTGTTGTACACCCCCCGACCTTGGAACAAAGCTTGGGTCAGTTAGCATGTCAGCAAGGCTGCTTGCTATTTGCTCCAGAGAATTGAGGCAGCCTCACTGGGAAGCGACCCCACTCTGACTCCCCAATTTACTACTATGAAAGAATTACATAGCTCTCCTATACATCCTGAGTATATGATAAAATCTTCCGGGAAGTCCCCCGACCGACCCGCTCCCCTTTGCTCTAATCACTTACTATTAATTACAATGCTTTATCTCCATGGTCACAATAGAGGGTGGGCTGAAGTTCTTTCTAGGCAAAAGTAATCTTGACCTTTAGAAGGCCCTTTAAAATACATCCTTTCTTTACCTAAAATAAGATTAGGCCAAAACTGGCCCAGGACACCTCTGCCCTCTCCAAGTGAAATA